AGGGAGAAGCAGGCTTCCCGCCAAGCAGGGAGCCCGATGCGGGGCTCGATCCCAGGACCCTGGGATCATGACCTGAGCCGAAGGCAGACGCTCAACGACTGAGCCACCCAGGCGCCCCGATTTTCTGGGTTTTCTTAGATCTCTCAGAGTTCTTTGGCTGGTGCATGGGACCTGTTTCCCCTGATGGCAGGTGGGTCTGCCTGGGCCTGGTCCCCACCGCCCTCCCCCATTCCTGCAGAGACTGAGCGGCTCCTAACCCCCAGTCCTGGGTATGGCACCCAGGCCGGGGCTTCCCCGGTCCCTCCGGAAGAGGAGGACCTCCGCCGCCGGCTCAAGTACTTCTTCATGAGTCCCTGTGACAAATTTCGGGCCAAAGGCCGCAAGCCCTTCAAGCTGATGCTGCAAGTCGTGAAGATCTTAGTGGTCACCGTGCAGGTGAGTCCTGCAGGGGCCCCAGCAGAATACCACCTGTGGCCGCTGCTGTGTCTGGAGTCGGAACCTAGTCCAAGCCCTGCAGCAACATAGGAACAGTGGCCATGGCTGTTAATCATTCGGGAAGCCCTCTAAGATCTGTGGTGGGAACAGCTCCTTGTAACCTCACAGATGCCCTTTGAGGTCCTGGCAACCGCTATTGCCACCATTTTATAGATGAGGCAGCTGAGGCTCAGAGAGGTTAAGGGACTTGTCCAGAGTCAAACAGCAACCAAGCATGGGGAGCTGGCGCTTGAACCCAGGCAGTCTGATGCCGTGTTCACTCTCAAGGAGAACTGACCCAGTGGCTGAGCAGACAGTTGCTGACCCCTCATCCCAGGCCCTGTGGTGGGCTTTGGGGACCCCAAGGTGAATCAGAGCCAGCCCCTGCCCTAAGGAGCCTCTGGTCTCACGCTGTGATTCAGGGTATATTAGGATACTTCGGGTTTCCTTTCGGTAAAAGGACCCAACAGTGGTGCTTACCCTGTAGGTTTGGGTTTAGCACGGAACCTAGCACCTGGTAAACATCTAATGAACACTAGCCTCTGTTGTCATGAGAGACGCGAGCACCTGCTGTGTGTTGCTCCCCGGGGACTTATGGTGGGCATTCCTCGTGCCCCGCATTGTCAACTCCCCCCCACCCCCGCCCTCCCCAGCTCATCCTGTTCGGGCTCAGCAACCAGCTGGCAGTGACATTCCGGGAGGAGAACACCATTGCCTTCCGGCACCTCTTCCTGCTGGGCTACTCGGATGGGGCCGATGACACCTTCGCGGCCTACACACGGGAACAGCTCTACCAGGCCATCTTCCATGCTGTAGACCAGGTGCGGGCAACCAGGGGCAGGCAGGCAAGTGGGCAGGCAGGCAGTCAGGGGAGAGTGGGCAGGGCTGACGGACCCTCCCCTTCTCTGCCCACAGTACCTGATGCTCCCTGATGTGTCGCTAGGCCGGTATGCCTACGTGCGGGGCGGGGGTGGCCCCTGGGCCAACGGCTCAGCCCTGGCCCTCTGCCAGCAGTACTACCACCGAGGCCACGTGGACCCAGCCAACGACACCTTTGACATTGATCCCATGGTTGTCACTGGTGAGTAGGCAGGGCAGGGCATAACTGTCGGTAGCGCTGGCTGCTGGAATTAAAATCCCAGTTCTGCTTCCCATTCATCTGGCAGATAGGGTTGTCCTGGTCGTTAATAACTTGATGCTTGCAGTGTCTTTGGTAGAACGCTTGGTGTGCAGAAAAATGCAAGTGTTGTGTTTTGTTTTTTTTTTAAAGATTTTATTTAGTTACTTGACAGAGAGAGAGAGAGAGAGAGAGCACAAGCAGGGGGAGTGGCAGGGAGAGGGAGAAGCAGGCTCCCCGCTGAGCAGGGGGGCCCGACGCGGGGCTCGATCCCAGGACCCTGAGATCATGACCTGAGC